AGGCTGCCCAGCACGTCTTGTCCCCAGGCCTTCTCCCCGGGTCTGGGAGGAGTGACCGCGGGAAGCCGGTCCTCGTTTCTGCTAACATCATGACCTCGCCGTGTGTCGTCCTGGGTCTGGCCTCTGTCACTCCACTTTATTGGTTTGGGATGATTTTTCTTAGATTCTATGGTTAGATTTCCAGCCCTGTCCCCGCCCCCGCCCCCGCCCCAGGGAAGCAAGGTCCCCTGCACCCAGACCAGGCAACTCCGCTGACCACGGCCCCCAGAAGGGAGCAAAGGGAGCAGCCACGGGYGTGGGGGCAGCAGGGAGCAGGCAGGCCCTCTCTCAGAGCTTCTGCAGGAGGCTGGCTSGGACCCAGGCSKCGTGGGTGARCAGCRGTTGGTGTCCCGCTGGTGACACGGCAGCTGCCGGGAGATGGCCAGGGTTTCCAGCCTCTTGGTTTTGGCTGACCGACGGCTGTGAGCAAGTTTGCCTGAGACTCAGCAGCTGAAACCCACCGCAGATGAGCTTCCCCTCCAGCTCTGAGATCTCGGGAGGCCTGGCCGGGGCCCTGGCTCCTGGGCTCTGCCGTCGCTGCTGGCAGGCTCTGGCTGAGCTGGAATCTTGAACAGCAGCTGGGCATCTGTCCCTCCTGGCCGCCGTGGGTCCTGGCTGCCGGTCCCACCCTTGTGGCAGGGCTTGATGTGGCCAGAGGGCTTTGGCCTGCCCTGGACACAGACACTCTCCCTTCTTGGGGCCAGGGTGGGGTGGAAATGCAACAGGATCAGAGAAAAGCCGAACCCACAGAAGGGAGAGAGAGAAGCCAGACACAAAAGAGGGTCCCGCTGGGCCTCCTTAGCTCTGGGGGCTGGGCCTGGGGGTGCTCCCTCCCCACCCCCACACGTGGGGGCCTCGCCCTCTGCTCCTTGCTCTGTGACTGTGTGTCCCCATGACAGAATGGAACCCCGAAACAATAAAATCTCAGCGTTTCCAGGTGCGGAAGCCCGCGGCAGGGCACTGGCCTGTTTTGCCCTTGGCTGTCCGCTGCCCCGCCCACCGGCTGCCAGGGGAAAATGGCCTGGGCCTTCCGTCCCAGTTCCCCCAACGGGGAGAGGGCAGGTCTTGGGACTTTCTTTTTAACTTTTTTTTTTTTTTTGCTTTTTTTCCTGCAACGATTCCCCCCCAGCCCAGGCGAGGACCAGCCTCCGGGTGAGTAGGTCCCCACAGCAGCCCTTTCCCATCTGTTGGGAATCAGCTCCTCCCCGCACACGAGGGTCCAGTTAGTGGTGAAGGCCGAGGGCAGCCATGAGCTTCCAAGCGCTCAGCAGGGARGGCTCGGCATGTGGCTGTGCCTTGTGACAGGTCACCGAGGGTCCTTGGACCCCCTTCGCTCCTCCACCCCTTGGTTGGTTGCTCTGGGTCACTGCCCACCCACCCACCCATCGTTATCCTCCTTCCATCCACCCACCCACCCCTCACCCATCCCCACGGGCACCCACCCACCCACATATCCACCACTCACGACCCACCAAGCACAAAGGACACGAGTCTGAGGACAGGGGACACCTGACCTGGAGCCAGGGCCCGCCGAGGGCGCTGGTCTCCCCACAGGCGCAGACGCTCGGGAGGAGGTGACAGCCTCGCTCTGCCAGGGAGGAGACTCGTGTGCCTGGTGCCAGCACCCATGGCTGCTTGGGGACCTGTGGGGTGGGACACAGGAGCAGGGTCCAGGTTGCAGTCAGGTTGCAGTCAGGTTGCAGTCACTGTGCCTGCACCTGTCCCCAGGCCAGGTGCACACCTGCCACCCCCTTTACCTTCTGCCACCCCTTCTGCATCGACCCCCCTCGTAGGCCTCAGCAGCCAGCCACAGGCCACAGACAGGGAAACTGAGACACAGGGGTGGGGCCGCTCTCCGGGGACAACAGCCGGGGAGCCGTGGCCCAGACCCCGGTCTGGCATTTAAGAACTCTAAGATCTCTCTGCCGCTCGGTCTGGGCTGGTTTCTGGGAAAACATTCACGGCTTCTTGGAAGATGGCCGCGTGGTGACGAGCTGTCTGTGGTCTGTCTGCAGAGGACGTCCTTGATGAACTCCTTAAGCTGCCTCCAGAGAAGGTGCGCGCTGTGGAGGAGGTAGGAGCCACCGAGGCCCACCACCTGCAGAATCTCGGGGCGGAGAGGGGACGCAGGCCTGGGCTCCGTTCCTGCCGGGTGCCAGGCGCTGGGGGCTTTCTGTCACCCAGCAGGAAGGTGGCCAACCCGGGTGTGGCCCTTGCTGTTCCTCGCAGGCCATCGTGAGCTTCGTCAACCACTCGCTGCAGAGCCTGGGCCTGGCCGTGCAGAGCCTCAGTTCCCAGGTGGGCACCCGGAGCCCCGAGCAGGGAAGGCCAGGGTCGGCGGGCTCCACAGGCCCTGAGCTCACTGGAGCACAGGGGACAGAGAGCAGAAAAGCGGGTCCCCAGCCCCRGGCCTTCAGGGTGGCCTTGGAGCCTGCTGGACCCCAGTGGCAACGGGCCCCGGTGTGTGGGCTCGGGCCACCTGGGTTCTGCTGGTGACAGGGGCAGGTGGAGAGAGGTCTGGTCTTTGGTGCACCACCCCTGTGAGGACCGTAGCCAGAGCACTGGTGTCACAGGTGCACTCTGGGGGACATTAGCCAGGGAGGGGTGGGGCCCCAGCCCAGGACACCCGCCATGTGCCCACCCGAGTCAGTGCCCTCAGCATTAACTTGCAAGCCCCCGGGACCTCTCAGCTGGGACCCGATGACACCTCCACGTTAGCTGTGTGACCTTGAGTTAGTTACTGGACCGCTCTGATCCTGAGGCTCCTCTTCTTATAAAGGTGCAGGACACTGACCTCATAGACGCCACATGTGCTTAGCAGGTTTCCTGGTGCACTGTGGATAAACGAGTCCTGTGAGGTTTTATCACATCTCTATGGGTATGAGCAGGATCATCTCTTAGGTTTATACTTTACCTGTTCCATCCCTATTTCTCCCTTGGTAAAACAGTGGTGTTTGGAGAGTTACGGCCTGTACAGGTGGCCTCGAGAGACTGCTGCATACAGTGGGTGCCAAGTCCTGGCATTCCCCCTGCACAGCCAGGAGCAGTCATAGGGAAGATTCAGGCCCAGCTAAGGACATCAGAACTGACCTGGTGGGAGGAAATTCCATCACGGACAGAGCGGAGGTTTTTCCTCCAGTATCTGATCTCGCCTTCTGTGTCTTTGAAGAGATTTGTGGGTTGTATTAGCATATGACAAGCTGGTGGCGGCAAGGACAGCTTTATCTCTGAACACGCAGACGGAATGGACAGGGGTACACTGTGGCAGTCAGCAAGCGGGCGGTGTGCCCTTCCTGACTTTCCTGCTGGAATAATTCTACCCCCAACTGTCTTCCCTGGTGATTCTGAAGTTCACGAATCTGTCATTTAAAAACTGACCTGAGGCTATTCCATGCCAATTTAAAAGTTGCTCCTTTTATTGAGCAGGTACTAGGTACCAAGTAGCCCAGAACGATTTTATCCAGCTTTAACCCTGCGCAGTTGGGAATGTCTTCCCCATCTCTCAAGAAGATCTTGAGGCTCAGAGAGGTTGGGCAAATTCCTTAGGGCCACACAGCCTATAAAAGGCAGAGGGGCTTCCCTCTGACATCATGTGTCCCACACAGGCCTCCGGCTCTTCCCTTTATAGTTTGCAGACGGAGTCATCCTGCTCCTGCTGATTGGACAACTGGAAGGCTTCTTCCTACACCTGAAGGAGTTCTACCTCACCCCGAGCTCTCCTGCAGAGATGGTGAGCCTCCAGAGGTTCTTCAGGGTCAGCCTCTGGGTGCACAGGTCTGCTGCACTGGCCCGCCAGCCTGTGTCTGTCCACCTCCAGGGGAAGCAAAGGGCGAAGGGGAATGTTGTCCATAGGTCAGCCTGGCCACCCCCCACCCATCTACCTACCCACTCACTGTCCACT